CACCTTGTGCACATTATCTCATTTAATCCCCAGAGCAAGCATTAGGCATTGTTAATCCCATTTTACAGATTGGAACCTGAAACTCAGAGAGGAAAAACACCCACCTAAGTTCATGCGAGTGCAAGCAATGGAGGAGGGACTCCACCCCAGGCCTGTCTGACTTGAAGTTTTAACGCAACCTGTCTGTTTTAAGCCAGTTAGAGTCTTCAAGGCAGTTTAATGTGATGCCATTGTGGACTTCCAGAATGCAGGGTTAGAGGGAAGACGGGGGAACATCAGATCATGAAAGGCTTTGCTTGCCTTTTAGGAAATGCAGGTTGATCCTAGCAATAGGGCGCCAATGAGGAGTTGAAGAGGTGACAGATCCTACCTGCGCTTTAGCGGCGTCTCTATAGCAACTGTGGGGAGAAGAGACCACAGGGGAGCCAGTCTGAAGACAGGGCCAGCAGGGCTTGCAGTGGCCCAGACTATGCCTGCTGGTGGCTTGAACCAGGGCAGCAGGTGGAGGGTGAGGGAATCAGAGAGAAACAAACAGACAATAAGACTAGTGATTGGCTGCATGTGGAGTGTATCTGGTGAAGGAGGAAGAAGAGTCAATAAGGACACCCAGGGGCTTCTGGTTTGGGCAACTGGGTGAATGTTGTTAGCACTGTGTTACAATCACTTACAATATTCAGCACAGTAGCATGCTGTACAGGTTAGCAGCCTAGGGCTGTGTATGGTAGATAGATCCTGGGTGTGTGGCAGGCCATACCATCTAGGTTTGTCTAAGTACACTCTATGATGTTTGCACAACGATGAGATCACCTGACACGTTTCTCAGGATGTATCCCCATTGTTAAGTGACACATGACTGTACATCGACCAGTTTGCTATTCTGCCTTTGAGTAACAGTAGCAGGGGCCTCATGGTAAGACAACCAGCACACTGCTTGAACCAGAGAAGTAGCTCCAAACCATGAGGGAGGGACTACCCTCATTAGCCATTCCTTAACATGTTCTTTTATTTTATTTATTTATTTATTTATTTGAGACAGGTTCTCACCCTATTGCCCAGGCTGTAGTGCAGTGGTGCAATCTCAGCTCACTGCAGCCTCCACCTCCCTGGGGCTCAGCCGATCCTCCCACCTCAGCCTCCCAAGTAGCTGGGACTACAGGCAAGCACCACCATGCTGGCTAATTTTTGTATTTTCTGTAGAGATGTGGTTTCACCATGTTGCCCAGGCTGGTCCCAAACTCCTGGGCTCAAGCAATCTGCTTGCCTCAGCCTCCCAAAGTTCTAGAATTACAGGTGTGAACCACTGCACCCAGCCATTTTTTTTTTCCAGACAGGATCTTGCTCTCTTGGCCAGGCTGGTGTGCAGTGGAACAGTCATGGCTCACTGAAGCCTCAAGTTCCTGGGCTCAAGTGATCCTCTTACCTCAGCTTCCTGAGTGGCTGGGACTACAGGGACATGCTATTATGCCCAGCTAATTTTTAAAAGATTGTTTAGAGTTGGAACCTTATGTTACCTAGGCTGATATTGAATTCCTGGCCTCAATCAATCCTCCCACCTCAGCCTCCCAAGTTACTAGGATTATAGGCATGAGCCACCCTGTAATATAAGAACATATTCTTTTATTTGGCCAATATTTGCAGCGAGATGATTGTGTAGCAGCTAATTCAAGACAGGAGCCAAGGCCCAGGCCTCCATGAAGGAGCCCCTTAAGGCAGCTGAAGTTAATCTGAGACGCCTTCCTGCAGGAGCCTGGCCTTGACTTTGGAGGTAAGTAATGGGCTGGAGTGGATGCCCATGCCACTTCCAAGGGAAGCTCTCAAACGTCAGGCAGATGCGCGGCCACAGCATCAGCAGCAACAGTGACATCAACAGAGTCCTGTTCCACACTGACCAGGCTCTGCTTCTCCATGCACCTCCATGGATATTATCCTCTGTGGTCCTAACCAATGAGCTGTTAACACACACTAACAATGAAGGTCCGTTTCCTTCTTTCCTCCTGCCTCACTCTCTCTTTAAGCCTTATGAAGCAAAGGTGTAAGGGAGCCTAGTGTCCTACCCATTTTACAAGTAAACTGCTATACAGAAAGGTCAGTGAGCGAGCTTGGGTCACACAGACTGCTGCCCTGGTCCTCCGCTTTGGAAGCCTTTGGGTCTTGACTCTTGCACCACTGCCTCAAGTCCCTCAGTTAAGGTATGAACAGTTAATCACCAGCACCAGCTCCCTTTTAAACCAGATTGCCTATGAGATCGGGTTGCTTCCAGGAGAGGACGCCCCTGGGGAATCTCTGTTCCTGAGACCAGAATTTGAGCCCAGGGGCCTGGCGTGGAGCTAACAGTAAAGCAGGCAGTAGAACAGTATGGTGACCTATAAAGTCACACAATCTTGAGTTCTGTTCCAGCCTCACTACTAACCAGCTAAATTACCCTGGTCCTCTCTGAGCTTCAGTATCTTCATCTGTAAAATAGAGACAGTGGTATCTTTCCCACTGGCTGGTTGCAAAAATTAAATCAAATAATCTCCGGAGGGCTGTCAGCCCAGTGCCCTCCTGCCCTGCCTACCTGTGGGTGAGTGGGGACTGTGCCAGCACACAGGTGGGTGCGCTAGTGGGGAGCATCAAGCAGAGGTGGCAGTCATGCCAGGAAGGGGAGCTGGTTCCCAGGGAGTGACACCTGAGAAGATTCACAAATGGGAAGAACTAAGAGATTCTCCCTGCAGTCCTTCTGTGTGGGTGTGGGTGTGGGTATGTATGCACACACAGTCATAAACTCTTCTTTTAGATGACTGGAGTCACCAATCACTCACTGTGACAGCCACCACAGCCCTTCCCTCTGCTGAAGGCAAGGCCTGGCTCTCAAGCAGGAAACCAAACCAAAGGGAAAGGAGTGGTCTTTTGGGATTTTCACCCTGCCCCAGGGAAAGGATCAAGGGACACTCTGGCTGTTATTGTGTGGCCAAACAGAACTGGAAAGGGAGCTCAGTTAAGTTAGCTGGCTGTCCCTTCTTTATAGCTAATTTTGTCCTTACTACCCTGTAAGGTACTTTTGCTCTCCCATTCAACCAACTAGGAAATGAACAGTATGAGGCTCAGAGAGTCAATAACTTGTTCAAGTTCATACGGCTAGCAAGTGTCAGTGCTGGGAACAGGGCCTGAGTTCTTTTCTTACACAGCACTGCCAAACCAAGGTACTGACAGATACTTTTCAGGCAAGAAGTCCTGAAATGTGCCTGAACAACTGCTATGATGGTTCTTTCTGTTTTTCCCTCTTTAGTTAATTTCTTTTTTTGTTGTTGTTCACATTTAAGTCTAAAGGGTAGAGAGGGAACAACATACCCTTGAGGCCAAGTCACAAAATAGAAGCAGAGGTCAGAGGAAGATATCAAAGAGAGAAATGAAATTCAAGGGCTGCTCATTCCACCTGCACAGTGTAGTGTGGAGGTTAATGGCACATGTCCTAGAATCACGAAGACCTAACTTAAGTCATAGAGTCACCACTTATTAACCTTGGGCAGATGATTTCACCTCTTACTGCCTCAGTTTCCTTTCCTATGAAATGATACTAATGTATACACTAACTTCCAGAGCTGTGAGGATTAAATGTCACACTGTGTTAGGGGTGCTTAGCACAGGGTCTCACACATGGTAAGCCCATGTCACCAATTATGTTGATTGATTCTCCACCCCCCACTCCCCAGAGGTTTTCTCTGTCCACATCTCCTGTTTTAAAGAAGGAAGGCAAAGGAACATATAGATATGGACAAATGGATAGACCATCTCACTTTGGCCACACAGGACTATCTGACTAAATTACATGAGAACCCAGTGTGCCAAGCAGGAGAAACAGAGCCCCTTGGTGCTGGTCAGGGGAGGTTTTCAGAAGTATATAGGGCAGGGAACAGGAGGACAATTTGGTAGAGGGGTGGGAATGGCCGAGATCTCAGGGAAAGTAAAGGGTGGGGCAATCTGGGAAGCAGAGGGAATGGGGCAACAATGACCTGGTGATTGGGAGCCTAGAAAAACAGCCCAAAGCTAAGTTGGAGGCTGAGAGCGAGGAGGAGAGTTTCACAGGGAAGCAGAGCAGAGAAATCTTCATGTATTCAATGTCTGCTGAATGCTAAACTCATTCAACAATTAAAACCTCACCGCACCCTTAGGGGCATCCTGATTTTTCAGAGGAGGACACTGGTGCTCAGGGAAGTGAAATAACTTACCTAGTAACTGTCAGGGATTTAAGTCTCAGTCTGGCTGCCTCCCAAACACCCAAGCCATTCACTGACTGGGACATTGACAGTCCAGGTTCAAGGGGCTCTTAAACCATACAGCCCTTCTCTATAGCCATCCATCATCCCTCAGGCTCACAGAGGTCACTGCCTTCCCAGACCACCCACTGCAGCTCTGGACAGGCTCCCAGTCTTCAACTACACCTCACAGACTACCACAATGAAATGCCAGAACCTGGTGTCCGGCCTCACTGGCTCTCCGGGGCTCTCCCGGTGAGGTACAAGCAGAGAGAGTAGGGTTTCCAGCCGGGGAAGGGCCCAGTGGGGACTTCTTGGTGCTAGAGCCACTCCGAATTCAGAGCTCCGTGTCTACCCCAGTCTGATCTCAAGGAACCACCACTGTTTGGCACACCTGTCTAGGTGACTCTGACAGGGACCTGGAGAACAGAACTAGCAGGGGCTTGAGGCTGTCGTGTGCCTCCCAAAAGCACCCTGGACCTTCTCGGATGCCCTTTCTAGGCAGAAGGCAGGCTGGGCTTCCCACACACATTTCCCGAAAGCGAAGGGCATGTTCGTCTGCCCACCCCAGGATGCTGTAAGCTGCACTCCCAAGTCCAGAGCTCCGTGGGCCAGATGGCTTTGCAAGTTCTGCCACAGGGCCCGTTGTGTGAGTAGCTGACCCTTCCCAAGGGCAGAAGCGTGTCCCCTAGCCTTCCCTGCCGGTGCCCGGGGGGAGGGAGTCCGGGAGCAGAGAGGGCCAGCCCTGCAGTGCTGCCTGTTCCTGCGGCTCCTCTCGGTGGGGGGTGAACACAGCAGAAGAGTTTCTGCCACACTGCAGACCGCACCTGCTGCATTTCCCTGCGAAGCCAGGTCTTTGCTGGGTAACAGCGGGGTGGGAAGCCGATCTGGAGAAGGGGGCGCGCCGGCGGGAGAAGGGACAAGAAAGGGGTCTGCAGAGCCTGTCTGGCGGCACCACAATAATAGCCACACGTCTCCCGCGGGGCTGAATCCCGCCGTGGGCCTGGGATAGCTGCTATTGATTATCTCCTCCTCGCCTACTTTATTACGTTGGCAGGAACCTCTCACCAGCGCTCCTCAACTTCTGCCCTCCCCCATCTCCCGGCCCGGCAGCCCCCAGCTGAGCTCTCCTGGAGCTTCTGGTTAGTAAGCCCGGCTCCGCCAAAGACTGTTTCCCTCGCAGGGCGGGAGCTGAGACCCGGCGGCCCAACGAGGTGACGAGCTTGGTGGCGGCGGCGGGCAGTTCGTTCCCGGCCCCGGCCCCGGCCCCGGCCCCGGCCCCCGCCCCGCCGGCCCCTTTAATTCGAGTTCGCCGTCGGGCCAGGTGCGGCGCTGCGTGGCGCGGTGCGGCTGCGGGCGGCGGCCGGGCGCTCCGTACGCGCCGCCCGCGGGACTGCAGAGCCGGCTCCCGGCTGGCCGCCCGCACCCCGCCGCCGCCCGCTGCCTGGTCCTGCCGGCGCTGGCCACAGCCCAGGAACATGGAGGCCCCGGTGCCCATCCGGAAGGGTAAATCCGTGTCGGGCGTTGCGCGGCGCTCCCCGCCCGGCTGCGGCGCCCAGAGCGGCTGCGGGGCACCCGGCGGCGCAGCCTGCAGCGCAGCAGGCTCGGGCTGAGTCCCGGGCGGGCAAGCGGTGGCCGACCACTGCAGTCTGCTCGGCAGGTCCCGACCGGGGAGATCAAGGGGAACTTGCACCTGCTCAAGAAGAGTGCACAGAATGGGCTCGGGACCCTCTTGGGCGTGCGTGGCGCGGGGCGGAGGGTACAGGGAGGAGCTGGTGGGTGGTGGGAAGTGCAGCTGGCAGCATAACCGTGTCTGGTAAATAGCGCGGGTTGGTAGGACACGAAGCACTTGGGACGGCCGGGCTGCATCCGCCTCTCCGGCACAGAATAACAAACGGCTTTGCTGCAGAGAAGGGCTTTCCCCTTTCTCGCTGGGGCCGTGGGCTGCCGCGGAGCCCCCGTGCTTAAAAGGAAGCTGAGATCTGGGGCAGCAGCCTGGCGCAGGCTACTCCCCACGCCCAGAGATCAGGCTCCGGGATTTTTGGGTGGAGACTGAGCCTCGGTGGTCCCTCGGCTGGACCCGGGGGGCATGAGAGCTGAGCTGTGCTCGGGCCCGCAGCGGGAGCCGACCGCGCGGGCAGGAGGGGGTTAAGGTGGCGCTAGCGGCGGCGGCCAGCGGGAGGGTCTGGTCCTCAGCGCAGAGGCGAGCAGTGAGCGCGCCGGACGGAATCCCAGCCGGAGCCCGGGGCGATGGGGAGAGGGCCCAGACCCCTCCCCGCCCTGGGGCCGGCGGGATTGGGTCGGCAGGGGGCCAGTCCGGAAGCCTGCTTCCTTCAGGCTCCCCCTCTCGCTGCTGCCAAACCGCCTCGCAGCTAGGCAGGCTGAGCGTTTGTTCTGTGCTCCCTGCTGAGGAGATATGAGGGATTTTCTCTTGGGGGAGAAATCAGTGGTCGAGCGCCTGCCCAGCTCAAATGCCACCCAGCTCAAAGAGAGGCCTGCGGCCCAGGGATCCCGGAGGGAGAGTAAGTTCATCCAGCTTCCGTACAGTGGTGACTTTGTTGTGTGGGGTCTCCCTAGATGCGCCCTGAAGGGGTCTGTGTGTGCCGGGGGGTGGGGAGATTCTTTTCCAGGACTGGCTGAGGTCAGAGCTTGTAGACAGGCTGCAGTGAGCTAAGCCCTTCTCTTGGGAGATGCTGTGTCCTAACATGTGGGGGTAGGGGTGCTTCTTCCAGACTCCCTGAGAGCAGCTGGGGACTAAGGACCAGGATCAACCCAGGGAGGCCCCTGGAGAAGGCAGGCCTAGCTAAACCTGAGGCTTGCTCCCTGGGAGAAAGTGCTTCAAGCTGATGGGAAGCCTGCACAGAAGAGTCAGGGAGGCTGAGGGATAGTCCTCAGGCCTGGCATCAGAATGGAGGATGGGCATGGGCGCCTGTCACCTTCTATAAGGGAAGCTCCCAGACCCTCCTAAATCTTGGCACCAGCTGCCCAAATGCCCTGGTTCCACCTTGCTGCTGTTTTTTTCCAGGCAACGTCACACCTCCTGAGGACAGCCAGGACTCCAGCTTTTGCTGAGCTTTGCATCTTGCCTCCTTCCGTCCAAAGGCTCCAGACACAGGCTCGGCTGTCGAGTCCCGCATGCCCCTGGCCAGGCACCTCACCGCCCATCCAGCCCAGCCCAGTCCTAGAGCTCACCTCCAGGACCCAGAGTCTGCCCTCCTGCCCAGAATGACTCACCATTATTTCTAGCTCAAGTGAGAAGATGTGATGGGGAGTTGGGCTGCCTGTTTGTGCATCTAACATTCCCGCAGCTTCTGATCAGCTCTGCAAGGAAGAGAGCTTCAGGTTCCTGTCTGGTCAGGTAAATCAATCTATCATTTAATAACAGCCTTGTGTAGAATCATTGGGTGGAGGCCAATGAGGAAGACCCAGGCCCAAGATCTCCCACCATGAATACCTCCCTGGTTATAAGTATCTGAGACATTAGTGCAGCATCGGGAAGAGGGTCCACTTTTAACCTATTAGCATGGGGTTATGCTCCACAAAGCCTGTGTGGTACCAGGGGGCCTGTACCAGCCACCTTCCCCCAGTGCAGGGAATTCCAGAGGTTCCTTGAGGGATTGCTACCTGTTTCCCTCTGATCCCCAGACAAGTTACAAGGTGAAAGTAAATTTTGCTTTGTCGTTGTGGTGGTGGTGATCACGTTTCTGAACTCTTGGCTGAGAGATGGGAGACAAAAAGTGGCAATCCAGGTCAGGCTGCCAATGCTGAGTAGTCTCATGTCAATAACTGCCTCTGTCTTTCAGCCAAGCGAGGCTGTCTCTCCAGCTCTCAGAGAGCTCTCGGGGCTCTCCTGCAGGAGCCCAGGCCAATGCTCCTGTGCTTCCTGGGGCCAGTAGCAGCATCCTGAGCTCCCTGCCGCCAGGCAGCTGAAAGGCATAGCGTGAGGCACTTCTCTCAGTCCCAATTATGACAGTGGCCACCGGAGACCCAGCAGATGAGGCTGCTGCCCTCCCTGGGCACCCACAGGACACCTATGACCCAGAGGCAGACCACGAGTGCTGTGAGAGGGTGGTGATCAACATCTCAGGGCTGCGGTTTGAGACCCAGCTAAAGACCTTAGCCCAGTTTCCAGAGACCCTCTTAGGGGACCCAAAGAAGCGAATGAGGTACTTTGACCCCCTCCGAAATGAGTACTTTTTCGATCGGAACCGCCCTAGCTTTGATGCCATTTTGTACTACTACCAGTCTGGGGGCCGATTGAGGCGACCTGTGAATGTGCCCTTAGATATATTCTCTGAAGAAATTCGGTTTTATGAGCTGGGAGAAGAAGCGATGGAGATGTTTCGGGAAGATGAAGGCTACATCAAGGAGGAAGAGCGTCCTCTGCCTGAAAATGAGTTTCAGAGACAAGTGTGGCTTCTCTTTGAATACCCAGAAAGCTCAGGGCCTGCCAGGATTATAGCTATTGTGTCTGTCATGGTGATTCTGATCTCAATCGTCAGCTTCTGTCTGGAAACATTGCCTATCTTCCGGGATGAGAATGAAGACATGCATGGTGGCGGGGTGACCTTCCACACCTATTCCAACAGCACCATCGGGTACCAGCAGTCGACTTCCTTCACAGACCCTTTCTTCATTGTAGAGACTCTCTGCATCATCTGGTTCTCCTTTGAATTCTTGGTGAGGTTCTTTGCCTGTCCCAGCAAAGCCGGCTTCTTCACCAACATCATGAACATCATTGACATTGTGGCCATCATCCCCTACTTCATCACCCTGGGGACAGAGTTGGCTGAGAAGCCAGAGGACGCTCAGCAAGGCCAGCAGGCCATGTCACTGGCCATTCTCCGTGTCATCCGGTTGGTAAGAGTCTTCAGGATTTTCAAGTTGTCCAGACATTCCAAAGGTCTCCAGATTCTAGGTCAGACCCTCAAAGCCAGCATGAGAGAATTGGGCCTCCTGATATTCTTCCTCTTCATAGGGGTCATCCTTTTCTCTAGTGCTGTCTACTTTGCAGAGGCCGATGAGCGAGAGTCCCAGTTCCCCAGCATCCCAGATGCCTTCTGGTGGGCAGTCGTCTCCATGACAACTGTAGGCTATGGAGACATGGTTCCGACTACCATTGGGGGGAAGATAGTGGGTTCCCTATGTGCAATTGCAGGTGTGTTAACTATTGCCTTACCGGTCCCTGTCATTGTGTCCAATTTCAACTACTTCTACCACCGGGAGACAGAGGGAGAGGAGCAGGCCCAATACTTGCAAGTGACAAGCTGTCCAAAGATCCCATCCTCCCCTGACCTAAAGAAAAGTAGAAGTGCCTCTACCATTAGTAAGTCTGATTACATGGAGATCCAGGAGGGGGTAAACAACAGTAATGAGGACTTTAGAGAGGAAAACTTGAAAACAGCCAACTGTACCTTGGCTAACACAAATTATGTGAATATTACCAAAATGTTAACTGATGTCTGATTGAAACCTATTACCATACTCACAGCTCAATGGAACTAATGCAGATGTCGCATAATAGCCTGCGTTGTAGTCAGTGTGTTCTACAGTGTGTATCTGGTTCTGCATGGAAAGCAATAGTTGTGCAAGTGACTTTTGATCTTTTGACTTTTGATTTAGGACACAGAATATCTATCATGGCTTTCATGCACATCCTCATCACTGGCTTATGAGTTTCCAAAGATGGGAGTCACCTATCAAGCTAGGATTTCAGAAAGACACATTGAGGCCACCGCATACCCAATACATGGTGCACCTGTCAGTGCCACCATTCCTTCCTAATTAAATGCACACAACATCCAGGAGATGCACTCCCCTCCCTGCCATCCCACCACCCCATCTGAGCCCACCTGCCCTTTCACAGAGGAACACAATCATGGCTTAGCTTTAAATATCTGGTGTTTATTCAAAAGGTCATTCTCATTTTCGCATTGAAAAGAACACACAGTCCTGTGTGTTGGAATTACTTTCTGTGTCACAGGCTGGGGTTTGTGAATTGCAGTTGCCAAGTAGACGCTCCGGAGGCTTGTGTTTCATAACGGAAAATGCTGCATTCTGCTTTTTCTCTGCAGTGTCGATGTGAAGGAAGCCCGGGGGAGGGACAGTTAGTATGACCGAATATGAGTTGTCAAGTTTCACATTTGTTCCCTTAGGCCTATGGGGAGAAGCTAACAAACCAACGGACCTCTAAGCCTCTGATTTCACCATTTTTGCAGGCTTCAGGGTCACAAAAACATGTCTGATTTCTTACTAGAGTTTGCAGACATCTGCTTTCTTACTGATGTGGCCCAGCTACACTGACACTGCAGTGAAATTTACCAGTGATGCGATAGAGCTGCATGGGTGTTTGTTGCATGAATCTCAATATTTAAAACAGGAGATAACCTATTTTCCTAGTAGCCTACACAGTATTAATATTTAGAGTATTAATAGCCTTGAAATGGTCTTGAACTAGGGATTTTTTTCCCATCAGAAGGTAAAAATCCCTCCATCAGGGGAAAAACCATAGACTATTTGGAATGGAACTAAAACTTCTGTCCCCCCAGCCTACCTATCCCTGTTCTTCTAAACGGGAATGCAGACCTCTGCAAAGCCAGGAGAGTGGGCAGGGAAGGCAGCGTCTGAACACCTCACATGACTGCACCTTAGCATTGATCTAGTCATGGGCATGACTATCCAGTGGACCAGGGCATCTGGTCCTGATGACAGGCAGGTCTGTGGATTCAGTGTAGATAAATATATATCGAGTATCTCTCTTTCACGCGTTCCTCTACCTAGCTAGCGATAGAAAAAAAAATTGCATTTGAACATTGTACAAGCTTATGCAATATTTTTGACACAGGGCAATTTATGCATGTGTTTGACTATGTGCACTAGGGTGTATATATATACATAAATATGTGTGTATATGTATATATACACACACATACATATATATATGTATGTGTATATATATATATATATATATATATATATATTCATTTTCTGGAGTTCAGGTTCAGGAGCAAATCCACTGCTTGGTGGCTTGGCTTTCTAAGAGGCCTAACAGGTTAATCTGTCTCATTGGTAACCCCACTGGGCCTGGGTTTGCTGCCATTGCCTCAGACACTCCGGTATCCATGGATTCTTAGACGTTAGAATTGTCTTTCTGCCCTCCATGTGCTGCAGCTTCAGTTCCCATGGCTGAAGCTTGTCTTACTGAGTGCACAAGGGCCCTGTGGCCCTCACAGTTCCAGCTGTCCTGGGCCAGACCCACCCCGGGCCTCCTCTGTATAGTCTATCCTCTTCATCATCTCCATTCTCACCTTTTCTCATGCCACTTGGATCTTATTATCATTTGGCTCTGCATCTTTCCCTAAAGAGCCAGAATGGATCCCCTGCTTTGAAACCAAGGACACCAACGAGTAAGACTCCCTGGGACCAAATTCCACTGATCTGGACTTAAAGGGAGCCTCCTCTATGTGGAAATGTTTGAGGTCCAGAGCTAAGGGATGGAGTCCCTAGATGATCCAAAGGCATCATTTTGATCTCCAGACCCAAACTCTCCTCCCATTGATCTGGCAACCAGAACTGCTTTTTAAAATGAACCAGTGGCATAAAGAATCATTTCCCACCTCCAAGAACAGGTAGAGTGCAAATGAGCACTGCTCAGCTCAAAGGCAGACAATAGCTTGACCCCAGAATGGCTTCAGGTTGGGGGCTTTTTACTCACCACACTGGCTTCTTTGTCTTTTGACAGAGTGGCTTAAATTTCCTGAACAGCGAATTGCAAGGGTTGGGCTGTGTAGGAGTGGCTCCGGCCCAGGCCTCACTGCTGCCTAGTTAGCACCTACAGTTGTCTTGGGGCATGGGGCACCAGCTCAGGGTGCTAGGCCCAGGGTGCTCATTAGTGCCTGGTCACCCACATCCCCAGGTATCTGCAGGTTATCCCATGCCCAGCACAAAGCCTCTGTGCTTCTCTTCCTCTCCTTCATGGGAGGTGGTGCTGAATTTCCAAGGCATGGGGTGGGGAGGGACACAGACCTTTGGAAAATAGAAGGTAAAGCAACCCATTCTGAGGCCTAGGTTAGAGGTAGATATCGTATCACAGTGTTCTTGGCCCAGGACTCTAAAATGTTCACACACAGTCATGCACATTCACCACAAAATAGATACACGGTTGCCACACACAAGTATAAAACATGCAACACGTGCAAAATACAGACAGACCAAGTTAACATAAAAGCAAACACAGAAGATATATGGTTATAACTGTCTACAAAATATGCACACTCTGCATAGATACATAATTTACACGTAACATAGACAAAAGACAAACATACACCACATACAAACATACAGCCTGCAACTCAGATGCAAAATACATAAAAAACTACAAGGACACAATATATATGCATGTAAAATACACAAAGGATACTTTACCATTGTTTCTTCACATGAAACACACAAACTCAGTATATATACACAATGCATTTACTTATAATCGGCACACGAAATACATCGCACACATGCCCAGAAACATCACACAATATAGATAAAATGCAGACATATACTCAGACCCATTGCCCTGCCCCCAGAGCTATGAATGAACAGGCACAAACAAAAAAGATCAGACTTAGTCACCTCTCCCTGGCCTGTGTCTATATCCCTCAGTATCCTTCAAGGAATCTCTTTCTCTAGTCTTTTCTCTCACCACCAGATTTCAGTCCTGAAAAGTAACTCCTGAGGTTTCAAGCAGAAGGATGAGCCACCACATCAAGCAGATATCTGACGAAGACCAGGAAGTGCATGGGGCCTCTAGCAATTCACCTTTCTCCCACCAGAAACCTGGTTACAGGGCGTGGAAGTATCTGGGACAGCTGGCAGCCTAATATAGGCCTCCTTGCCATGACTCTTCCTTCCAGCAAATCCACACAGACAACACAATAGCCCAGGCTCCCCTACTCCCATCACCTGGGGTCTCCAGATTCAGCCCTATTCTCTTAAAAGCAGTAATGGCTCAAGAAACTGCAGAATCTTGAGCCCAGGACGAGGGTGAAGATGTCCCCAACATTCTCTAAGCCCACAGATCTTATTGCCCCTCCATCTTCTGCAGCTTTTGGGGGGCTAGGTCAGGAAGTTGAGACCCTATAGAGACCTGTCTCTTAAAATGAGCCACTTTTACTTGCTTGTGGCATTTCACTTGCTCTTGGGCATACGCCTAAAGGGGCCAACTCCTGATTCCCCTCTGGGGGTGTTCAAGCCCAGGCATGCTCTTCCTTCCCTCTTGTTGGGCTCCCCCGATGCCCTGCCTCCCATCCAATTACTATGCAACCCAGTTCAGCTAAAGTAAAAAGTGATTAAGAACATACACCTAAGGCTAAACAAGCAAACACTTTTTAGAAGGCCTGACTTTATCACATATTCTAAGACCATATTTAAATACTTTCTAAGATTCACCACTGTTTTGGATTACTCTTGGAGCCAGTTCTTCCCCTCAGTAGGACTAGCTGAGAGCTGAGTGCATTTCAGCAAAGGCTTCACCTACATTGGAAGTTAGGGGTTGCAGTCAGGCCTCAGATCAGGATCTGCTCCTGCAGCCATTCCCATTGCGTCTCATCCTCCTTTCCAGTGATGCTCACAGCTCCCAGTCCCTACAGAGAAGGCAACAACATCAGGGAACAGATATGTGGATCCAAAACTTGTGCTTGGCTGCAAACTTGTGTTTCCAAGTCAAGATACCATTCCTGATGGCTTCATCAAGTGCCTCTGAAAGTTGGAATTTTCAGGAAAGTTGGAGTTTTCAGGAGGCTGAAAAGAAAGAGCCCCAGGAATGGTGGAGGGATTGTCAGGAAGAGAGAGTAGCTGAGCTGGTCAAATTTCAGAGTAAACTTTTCAGGAGCCAACATTTACTTCAGAAATAATTAAGGCTCTGTGCTTCCGGAAACCTCAGTGATGCTTGACATGCTCTCTTCCTTCTTCTCTGCTTGCCTCTGTCCCTCTCACCTGGGCTTCTGAGGCTGGTGTTGGCAAGTCACCGGGAGGTTAGCCTTCCAAAAGGGACCCCCTGGGAGTGTACCTCTAGATTGCATTAGCCTAGTATGGACAGGGCTCCCATGGAAGCTATGATGGCCGGAGACCCCAGCCTGGGTGTTCATGTTGCTGCTGTATGCAGGGAGGGCTCAGGACTAGCTTGTCCTACCTGTGCTTCCTACATCTCTCACTGCATTGCGGTGAGGACTTTATCAGTGTCAACCCATGTTGAAAGACGCCAACATGTCAGCATCTATCTGAAAGTCAGCCTCTATCTGACTTTCCCCAAAGGAAACTATAGAACAGTATACAAATTGCATATGAAGGTGGCACCGCTACCCCCATGTCAGGCAGGGGAGCACAGTGCTTTGACTTGTTTAGTCAAGAGAGGGGATGATGGTGCTGAGCTCTACTCCCCAGGACTTTCCTGGGGCCCACTGTCCTAACAACCTATATGTCGGTGATGGCTGCCTGGCCTGCGAGGGCTGTAATGTCCAGAGTGCTCCTTGGTTACACAATGGAGGTTCCCCCAGCCTTGGCAAGGTATCCATTGCCAGGTTTGAACCCATGACCTTAACCTC